TGCAGTGTTTTTTATCACATTCCTCTTACTTAGTCCATTACAGATTTAAAACAAGAGATGTGTGTGTCTGTGTAAAATAGTCCAGAAGGCATTTCATTCAATTCTAGAACTCATCAACTGGGATGAAACTATGGAAACAAATTTCTTCCTAAAATGACATTTTTTGCTGCACAAGAAGCCCATACTATGGGTCATAATACTATGCATTAATCTGAGGTACAAAAAAGAGCACTTTCAAATGTTTTTTTTCTACACACATATAGTTTGAAATCTACAGTAGGCTAAATACAGTAATATTATAATAAAAGCCATGATTTTAAATTAATTTACCATGGGCTGATAAAATGGGTGGTCGTTCTATTAAAGGAGGAGTCCTACAAGAAAGTCCAGAGTAGGTACTATTAGCAGTGATGGGTGTGCTGTTCCCAAATACACATAGATAGTGAGCATCGTTAGGGAGTTTCGGAAGCTGATTGATCACTAACTTAACCTAAAAGAGAAATAATAAGCACAGGAATTACAGAAAAATTCAACAAAAAATAAATGTTGTACTTTACTCAGATTCGGTGTGAATATTTGGTTTCTCAAATAAAATAAAAACTATCCCGTTTTAAAAACACGTCCACAAGTTTTAGAGTGTAAGCAGTAAACTTCTAAATAAAAGTTTTAACGAATTTTTCCAATTTAGTTCCGCAAAACGTTAAACAATCTTTTCAGGTATTAAAATCGGGTGTTTTTCATCAAAGCAGATGGACTTGATATAAAACTTACAGTGCTCTGTTTCGTATAAAAGTACTGGCGTCATTTCCTCACCTCAACCATGGCGTCAAAAGGAATCTCTTCTGGGTCAACAGATTGGACGTCTATACATTTCTTGGTATCTAAAGATAACCAACGAGTCGAACTGTGCCCAAGTGCTCCTGTTGCATTCTGGCATTCCAGTTTCATTGTGCATCTATGTATCAAATAGTTATATTTAAATAATAATTGTGATTTAGAAACTGTTAAAAGCGGGTTATTTTCTTAATTGAACGCGAGTTCTTCAAATATTAATACATTTATAAAGGCATGATTATATTTATAACAATCAGGTTAAATCTGATCATATCCATATAATCATGATTATATTTATAACAATCAGGTTAAATCTGATCATATCCATATAATCATGATTATATTTATAACAATCAGGTTAAATCTGATCATATCCATATAATCATGATTATATATTATAACAATCAGGTTAAATCTGATCATATCCATATAATCATGATTATATTTATAACAATCAGGTTAAATTCTGATCATATCCATATAATCATGATTATATATTATAACATCGAGGTTACATCGGATTAGATAAATATAATTATCATTTTATACTATCAAGTCTGATTAGATTCATATGCTCACAAACAAAAGACTGGAATACAGAAAGAAAACACGGTGGACATATTGCTAACAATTTGTGAAGACAATTCAAATAACCACCACGAGAGGCCAGAGCTTCTCCACTTGTTATAAAACGTGTAGAATACTTTGTTACCCATAATTAAAATTTATAATGAATTGCATTACTATATCAATAAAGTTCTTTATTATAGAAACAACAGAACGAGAATTTAAATTAATCTGACCATCAAGTGCGCAAAAAAGTACAAGATATACGTTTATAAAAATCTTAAGTTTCTTTAATATTTTAAACACTAAACCTTAATAATGACTACATTCCGATCTTTCGTTTTTTTTTTTTTTGCTTGTTAAGTTCATGCTTTAATACTTACACTTTTAACCTTATCAAAATTAATCAACGCTAGGACTATGCGCAACAGAAAAACCGAATATGTTACATTAATCGAAAGTGAAGCCCTATCTTTGCAAATTGAATAAATAAGTTCTTAGCACCGAAGTTTACTGTCCGTTGTTACGGAATCCCTGACAGCAGCGAGCCTTTTACAGATCATTATTTTTAATGTCACTTTACGCTACTCTTTTAATTTGTTATGATTCACCAACACAAAAATCTGCAGTCTCGTAATTTATCGACTTCTCTTCATCAGAATAATAACAAAATTCCACTGAGTGGGAATATAACACTACGAGACATTTAACGAGATTACTTTTATTTTTTACGTTGAAAAGTATCGCATTTTCGATGACGATCTGTCTCAAAACTTATGACTTTATTCAACATCTATAGCCGAATACTTAACTAATTAAATGAAGGCTCTTTCTAATAATTAAATGTATACGAAAAAGTTAAAGAAAATTGGCAACAAAACTATCCAATGATTGTGACAGACGAATTAAAAGTTTGTTGGATATAAAAAAATATTTATTTCGGTTATTCTGTTATATTAGAAAACTTTGCATTTATAGAAATCCTTATAATAGAAAGTTAAAAAAAATTATATTTATATGTTAACTGTTTTGTTTTTCTGACTATAAACGTATTACGCTAATTGATAAAGTTTCTTGTAAAACAAATGAAAACAAACCACTCATAAAATGAAGTGAGTCCATTTCACAAGATTGAAATATTTTTTCAGTAATATTATGAGCTCAATTATGATACACAAACAAACATGTGGAGGATCACTTTGTAAAACTTTTAATGGTTAAAACGAACCTTCTTTCCAAGGAACACCACCCACAGTATGGATTTCTGGCCTGCAAACAGCCTTCGCACGTACTGTACTGCTGACATATTTCAATAACCACTTTACTCACCTATTGGTAAACATGTTATCAATACAGTGATAATGGTACACATGTTATTATACAATGATATTGGTAAACATATTATCAATACAATGATAGTGGTACACATGTTATTATACAATGATATTGGTAAACATGTTATTATACAATGATATTGGTAAACATATTATCAATACAATGATAGTGGTACACATGTTATTATACAATGATATTGGTAAACATGTTATCAATACAGTGATATTGGTACACATGTTATTATACAATGATATTGGTAAACATATTATCAATGCAATGATATTGTTACACATGTTACTATACAATGATATTGGTACACATGTTATTATACAATGATATTGGTACACATGTTCTCAATACAATGATATTGGTACACATGTTATCAATACAATGATATTGGTACACATGTTATTATACAATGATATTGGTACACATGTTATTATACAATGATATTGGTACACATGTTATCAATACAATGATATTGGTACACATGTTATCAGTACAATGATATTGGTAAACATGTTATCAATGCAATGATATTGGTAAACATATTATCAATGCAATGATATTGTTACACATGTTACTATACAATGATATTGGTACACATGTTATTATACAATGATATTGGTACACATGTTATTATACAATGATATTGGTACACATGTTCTCAATACAATGATATTGGTACACATGTTATTATACAATGATATTGGTACACATGTTATCAATACAATGATATTGGTACACATGTTATCAATACAATGATAGTGGTACACGTGTTATTATACAATGATAGTGGTACACGTGTTATTATACAATGATATTGGTACACATGTTATTATACAATGATATTGGTACACACGTTCTCAATACAATGATATTGGTACACATGTTATTATACAATGATATTGGTACACATGTTATTATACAATGATAGTGGTACACATGTTATTATACAATGATATTGGTACACATGTTATCAATACAATGATAGTGGTACACGTGTTATTATACAATGATATTGGTACACATGTTATTATACAATGATAGTGGTACACATGTTATTATACAATGATATTGGTACACATGTTATTATACAATGATATTAGTACACATGTTATCAATACAATGACTAGACAAAACATCACATTAGTTTTTGTGTCCCTAAATTACAACAACAACAGGTTTTATTAGCACATCTTTAAATAGCTATACGCTAACAAATCAAGTTTTATCAACAGTAACCATTGATATTTTGTGTTATTGAATAAAACAAATCATATAGAAATGGTGCCTACATTAAAATACCAACTTTTTATCACTATAATAACATGTCATCAAGTTACTTTAACAGGTTTCAAGTTTACAGAATGTAGCATGAACAGAACACGTCACAAATACAAAAAAAACAAAACAAAAGCAACCTTAAATTAGTGGGATAACTATTAAATGAAATGAAGCCACTTGTGCACGTTTGATTTGCTATTTACGGACAAATTAATATATATATATATATATATTTATATGTAGCTTTGATTGCAGATTTTAACAATAAACTTTTTACTGAACGTCTATATCAGATTAAAAGAGTTGATCGTAATGATAACACAGGCTTGCGATAGCTCTGCTGTCTTGAAATTTTTACATGTTCCACAGTAATTCCTGTACGCTGAATCCGAAAATGATATCATTTTTCTCCATCACGTACACACTTTTCAAAGAACGTCATAACGCAATACATAAAAGAAAGACCACAACACGTAGTTTTGAGACTAAAAGACGTAGATTTCACAATAAAATCAGGATGAATGAGAATGCATATTCGTTTGACATCAATGTTCTTCCCTTTTTTCGTTTACCACAATGAACATTTTTTATTATTATGTTTGTTAACAAAAATACAAACAAACTGAAGAATAATAATTTGATCTAAGTTCTTCCCGGTTTGTAAAAAATATTTACGGGATAGAAAAAAAAACTAATATTATTTTCGGAATCTGCGTAGCTGAATTATGGAAAACAACTTTTATGAATTTCTATATGTACCACCAGCACTTGTGTTTAAATTTTTTTAATTATAATAAATAATTAAAAACAACGTTTTACATTATTTATTATAATTAAAAAACTTTTATGGAGTTTAAATTCGCAGGCCTGTATAATTGCTTCTTTGCAAATATCCATTCTCAATGTACAGTTATATTTTGTAACTACAACAATGTTAATTTTTCAGTAAAGTAGAAAATCTTCTTGAAGCCACGGACCTTGACACATAACGCCACGATAATTGTCAGTTAGTTTGTTCTCATAACCTGGTCGACAGAGGCAGTAGTACCATCCGGGCATATTAATACATTCTGAGTTAGGATGACATTGGTGGATTTCCAAGTTACACTCATCAATATCTGGAAAATTACAAAAATATCATTGAAATAACATTTTCTTCAAACAGAACTATAGCTTGATGTACAATTTCTCACTAATCAATAAGACTATATGTTTGCTAAAAACTTCCTTTCGTTGCATTTTCTTGGAATAGAACAACGTAACAAGAAACGTGTTTGTTAGAACAAAAGAGGAGTAATGAATGCTTTTTTTTTCTTGCTTCCTATTGTGAATAGTTTTTTGTTATTTCATCTTAATTAGAACTTGGGAAGATTTAATCAGAAAATTAAATCTTCCCAAGTTCTAATTAAGATGAAATAAAATAATCTTCTGAAAAGTGATATTGGTATTTCTTATTTTATTTTTTATTCTGTTAGTAGGAAACTCACCAAGCTCACAACTGGGACCCGTGTAACCTTGACGACATGAGCAGATCCCTGGTGCTACACACTGACCACCGTTCAAACAGGTCTCATTACACACAGCTAAACAAAGAACAAGACATTTGATTAACAAGAGGTGATACTTAATAATCAGAATGTTCAGTATTAGGTATTATACAAAGTGAAGCATGTACATCCAATTCATGGTATATCCAGAAGAAATAAAATTTTGAAAGAACGATTTTTCAGCCAAATATTTTCCTTATTTATGTTTATTTCACATCGTTCATTTAATGACAAATATTCAATCATCACAATGTTAATTTAAAGCAACACTTGGTTATGTGAAAAGTAAAAATTGTTGTTCTGTCAGGGTTGTGTAGGATTAAATTAATTGTTAACAGGAGAAAAAACAATATTTACAATATTCAATCATCACCATGTTAATTTAAAGCAACATTTGGTTATGTGAAAAGTAAAAATTGTTGTTCTCTCAGGATTGTGTAGGATTGAATTAATTGTTAACAAAGGAAGAAACAATATTTACTAAAGCTTTTTAAACTAAGGAATCTGAGATAGAATGAGTTTTGTTTGAAACGTGAGACAATTAAATCTAAATTCAGTTTTGAAATCATAAAATTGTTGGCAACATCTAAAGACTGTATTTTTTTTAAATTTATACAATGATGCTGGTATAAAAGAACGTGTTTATCATAATATTATAAATATAGGAAAAAGAGATTAATTTAAAGAAACACACAGAAATCACTTATAGTGCTCTTTAAAGGAATGCGATAAACATGAATCAATTTGTTAAAATGAGCACAATGTGTAAAAACCTAACAGAGTTTTAAAATAACCCAGGTTTAGTTGTGTCTGTCATTTTTAAATTGACTCAAGATTGAGTTTATGTTACCTTGTAATGCCTAATTTGATCCAATAAAGTGAAATAATATTACAGTTTGTAGATTAAAGTTGTTAAAATAAGTGACAGTGAAAATTAATCAATAGCAGGTCAGGCTAGTTTCATTACAGAGTTATATTAAATTATCAAAACCAATATATATATATATATATATATGTATTAGTATAGTTTGAGTTTTAGAATACGTATATTTTATTTCATTAAAGAAAGGGCAACAGGTGATTATTATTGGGCCAATGAATTGTTAACACGATTAATGAACCAAAAATAAGACCTGTTCTTTACTTACGTTTGCAGGAAAGTCCATTCCCGACGTATCCCTCTATACACTGGCACTGGTAGCTTCCTTCTGTGTTCTTGCAAATGGCATTTACATCACAACTGTGTCGACCAATAACACATTCGTCCTCGTCTAAAAGAGGCAAGTAAGAACGGCACAATCTATTACTGTGGTACCAAGAGTAATTTTCATAATGCAACATTCTATTTTTCAAATTGAATTGCTAGAATGAAAAATATCATAAAAAATACCATTATGTTAAATGATAATTAATCTACGTCAGATAACAATGTCGTTATCTTCAATAGACTTTGGCAAATCCCTACAACCAAAAAGTTTAGTTTATGAACCATTTTATAACTTTAAAGCTTTAGAAACAAAATCTTCACGCGCATATCAAGCACGGTTTCATTTTGTTGCAAGTATAAACTCTTCATAGCTACTTAATGCTTTTCTTAGACTTATAAGAGAGTAATAATTAATTGGGTTTACCTGCACAGTAGTAATCATCTTCTCGTTTGTAACCAGGAAGACACTCACAAGAATAAGTGCTAGGTAAGTTAACACACCTAGTGTTTTCTCTGCAATAGTGTCCTTTGTGTCCGCCATTCTGGAGGCATTCATCCACATCTAAAGAAAATCAAACTTAGATTTTAAATAACTGTAAATATTATGGAAAATATATTTCATTAAAGTCTGATTCACAGGAAAAAGACAATTATAAATTTACTTATCAAAGAAAGGTGATTAATTTTAAAGAAAATGCAAAGATACAACGATAAAAGAATTTATTTTTTATATAATAAAATAAGTGGATGTTTACTCATTTTTAGAAATATGATAAAGTAAATTCAATATGCATTTAAACATAGTAACATATAACAAGGTTATATGAAGAAAACATTCTTGTAGAATTCGCTATCACTTGGATACTGAACAACAAACAGAAACACAATTTAATGATTTGTTTACGTATAAGACACTAGCCTCGCCCACTTACGAGGCCTTACGGATTTATGCGGATCGTTTGGAGTTATTTTGTTTCTTTTTTTTTGCCTACTAAACTTTGTTATTTGATATAATTTCATTACTACTTCACATTTACAATGAATGTTTTTATTTTATTAAAATATAAACTTTAAATCTTAATAAAGGCCAATAAGATTCGAATCAATCTAGGTAAGGTATAAACTAAATGTAATTTCTTAATTTAATATAAACAAACATTTTCGTCACTATACCTTTACAGTCTCTTCCATTTCCCTGGTATCCTTCTTTACAGTAGCACGTGTAGTTTGTATGAAGGTTAAAACAGGTGGCATTAATGTGACAGTCATGACCCTGTGAGCAGTAGTCTGTGTCTAAAGTTAAAATAAGTAAATAAACTGCTGTTAGAATCTTAATTAAATCTTTAGTGAGACGCTATAGAACTGAAACCAAAACTTTCGAAATAGCAGTTTAGCTGCTATCGCACGATAATAAAAACACCCAGGTTAACACGTTAGATTTCACATGTAGATCTGTAGTTTTCTTTATTATTGTTTTGTCATTACTACTCTGTATATAAGACAGTTATTACGATGAAAATACCTTGAAACTCAGTAGATTTGGATAGTTCTGTGTCTTATAATTACTAACCTTTACAAGTTGGACAACATTTCCCTTCGACATAAATATAATCTTCAACTGGACAAGGCAATGGTGGACATTTCTGAAGCTTTTCGCAGTTCATGTTGCCATTCTGTAAAGTCAAAAACGCGCGAAGAAATTTAGTTTAAATGCCACAAAAAATTTAAGCAACAATAAAAATGACTGACACAAAGAAATGTCACATGCAAATTCAAATACGTAATACTTGAAAACAAAACTACTAGTTTAGCTAACCTATAAACATAAGTAAATAAATGATCTAATTTTTGAAAATATTGTTTTCAATAAAGTCCAGTGAATGGTCTTTCAAATTATACAATTGTTTTTCTGAGCTTTCCTATGCTTATTTGCAAGATTGGGCGTTAAGGTTATTCATTCAACCCGTAGCTGAATACATATTTAAAATGATTAATAAATAAATGAATAACATATGTATATATATATATATAAGGTAGGTTACTGTCAACCTTAGTAAGTAGTTCGTCATTAGACCATCTGGACTGCGTACTAGCAAACGTGCTGCGACAGGACTCCATGATTGGAGGGAGGAGAACCTGTGCTATGGCCGGTGTTAAACTTATTAAGTACTTACATTGCAATAGCATCTCTGACATGGTCTTCGGTTCTCTTCGTCTCCATGGTCGTACAGCTTTCCATCAATTAGGCACTTCTCTTAGAGGTAAAAAAAAATTAGATCATATATTTCTCGTTAAAGAAACATTATTCAAAATCATACAATATTTTTATCTCGCTGCACACACACAAAAAAAAGGAATTCCTAGTGGCCTTCTATCACTTATATCTTATTTCCACATTTATCTCGTTAATCACTAGATTGTACTTTTCTGATTCTCATACAGAAATTAGCAGATAGAGATAACATCATTTAAAAGATGTCAAGAAGAACCAAAGACATGACAAGAGGTTTAGGAAATTACGTTTAACATTTGGTAAAAAACAAATCTACGGATCTTCATATTTTTGATAATCTATGAAGCTTTATTCGATGATTGTTTTGCGATATTGCTTACGAATTTCCAATAATATTTGCACTTTTTAACCCTAATAATATGATTCAAGTTAATTTTCAATATGCGTTTAAAAAAAGATAAATAATGATTGTTTGCACTCATTCCTGACTATCGTTATAATAGCTGTATACTGTATTGTCAGTATACTATTACCAGTTGCTAATTTTATAATATTTTCAATATGTATTTGGAAAAATGAGATGAATAATGATTGTTTGCACTCATTCCTGACTATCGTTATAATAGCTGTATACTGTATTGTCAGTATACTATTACCAGTTTTAATTTTATAATATTTTCAATATGTATTTGGAAAAAAAGAGATGAATAATGATTGTTTGCACTCATCCTTGACTATATTTATAATAGTTGTATTATGAATCTATCAGATATTTAATTATAGTACTTACTCAAACACGTGGGACAACATTGTCCTGGAAGTTGAACAGGATTTTTACATAGTACTGGATTACAGGACTTACGGTGGCACGTACTGTTTCCCTTCTAATAAGAACACAGAATAGACACATATCCTATACAGTAAAACTCAAAAATTACTTCAAAGCCTATCAACGACTATACAAACTCACAGTAGTTCTGTTTGAAGTATAGTATTCGAGAGGTTCAATGAGTGTTTCTCACTTCACTAATAATTATAAAACTATCACAAATATACAAGTCCTCCATTCCATTAAAATCTATTTTTCACTTCACTAATAATTATAAAACTATCACAAATATACAGATCTTCTGTTTCAATAAATACTGTTGTTCACTTCACTAATAATTATAAAACTATCACAAATATACAGATCTTCCATTTCAATAAAACTAAAATATATTGTTCATCTATTGATATAAAATTATCCAGAAATTATTTAGGATAACTAATTTCTTTGCAATATTAAAATGTTTACGAAAGTATTCAGCGTTATATCTGTATAGACACTACACTTCATTTCTGTGACAATATTAATTGGGTAATTGATCACCTAACTGTTAGATATTTTCCTGCAACAATAAGTTTTCATTTCTTTGTAAGCATACTTGTAAAACACACACGTCTTACAAAATCAAATGATATGCAGTAGAATACACATTGGAAGATTAAAGTAAATGTATCATAACGTGTAATACACACACACACGTATATATCGTAGTATACTCGAAATGTAAAAAGACAGTTATGTGAAGATACAACAAAAAAATAACAACAACCTTAAGAATTTAGCTATTTTGTATAATGACATAAAAATGTGGAATAAAGCATGGATATTAAGCCTAATACGGCACAAAGTCTGTGTTATACGTTACGTTTATTAGAAATAATGGAAAAGTAGAGAAAGAAAATGGCCGAGTTTAACATGGACTTACCACACATGAGCAGATTTCACAGCCGATTTCCCATGAGGAGCCGTCCAGACGAATACTTCCATTCACATGACAGTTTTTTCGACATTCGCATTCTTCTACAGCTGAAAGCCTCTTTTCTGCTTGGGCTAACTGAAAGAGAGCATATATTGTCATGAATATAATATAGAAGATTATTATCTAAGCAAAATGGAAAGCAGAAGTAAATATATATATATATATGGTTTTTATCTTCAAATATTTTGTGGAGAATAACTATACTTTTTAGACAAAATACATTAGAAAAATAGTATATGATATGAAACTCAATTAAATCAAATTATGCCACTTTAAATATTTCTACTGTGTTGAAGAAAAAGAATGGTTAAAATTTGACAACCATGGATTTTAAACACCTAGTTTAAGCCTTGTGTCCATCCGTTAATTTAAACATATGTTTATTGTAAAAAAAGACAACAAATTAAATATTTTTTCCTATAAGTAGAACCAAGTGATTGGAGATGTATATTATTTAAAACTTCATTTTCTAAAGAATATGAAGAAGGCTGATTTTCAGTATATTATTTCCAATTGTTAATTTTATAAATGAACTAAACTGGTACTATAGTTTTAATTTATTTTTTCTTTCAAGGTTTGTATAGTTTGGTTAGAATACCTTAACTCCACTATTTTAAAACACTATCCAAGGCTACTAAGTTCGGTTTGCACACTAAAATTCACCCATTTCTATACATCAATAACTTAAATAACACTATACCTAAATTAGATGTGTTTTTTAGCTAAACGTTTAAAACAGGTTTTTATTTTTCGTATACCAAATCAACTTATAGAACTAATATTAATGTTGTAAGACATAGTATAAGGTAATATAGATTTTAGAAACAAAACTCATTCTATCTCTATGGACATCGTAGTAAAAAGAAACATTCTGGGTGATCTCTGGGAAATAATACAATAACATATACATACTATAAAATATAATAGATTATATTAAGAACTTACTTTTTCTGCTAATGTTTTCATATAATTTTCCAAGTTCAGGACCGACATCTGTAACATTCTGAACTGGCCACAAGTCGGACAGTCTAGTAAGAATACTATATTCAGCTAAAAGCAATCACCTGACCAATCTATTATATGACATAGTTAGCTTGAAAAAAACCGATTTTCCACTTATATGAGAGCTTATAAAGCGTATTAATATTGAAAAAAAGTGATTTTAACTTTTCTTTATCAGAAATTGTTTAGGAAATATCAATATTTCTTCAGATTATAAAATAGGATTTGAATATATCAAGAAGTTTTGGATCAACAAATAACCATTTTTAATGAAATCGTTCCATTACCCAATTTCAATCAGTTTTGTGAAGTCATGTCTAATTTGATTTTCTGATGTTAGTTTTAAATGACTAGTATAGGAAACAATATAATTTTCTTCTAGTTGTAACTTAATTTTACTATGTATTGCTTATACGTTTTCACTTCTTTTTAAAATGATTAAAACCTACAATAGTTTATTTATTTATTAGACAATTTCGTGAGAAGAAAAACGCTACTTGTATTTTGAAATAATCTGTAAATACTGACAATATTTAAAAATACAAATGTCAAAGCGAATACAATAATATATATATATATATATATATATGTATAAAACCACAAAATAAATTGTAAGAAATATGGCCGTCAACTGTAAGAGATGGTAGTAAGGAAAATGTTGTGGTATATATCAATGTTAGTTACTTAAACAAACTACAAATACTATCCTAAAAATTCCATTAAATAGGGTTGTCCGCTATACCTGTATCAAGATGAGGACACTGTACAATATATCCATGAGATTTTCCAATAATTTTGGCATCTTGCAAAATTCCCTGAAAGCAAATTATTATCATTTAGAATATTTATTTACAGAATCTTTTCTAATCTACGACACTCAATTTAAAACAAAAGCTACTTGTTTTTGTTATTTTCTTTTTAGCATCACATCAAAGTTTTACTAGAGTACGAACATGTTCTTCTGTCTAGAAGAGAAAAAATGCTTGAAAAGAGATACATATTTACCCTTTACTTTGTGCTCTCGTAAGACATTCAATATATTTCTATGTACCTTCTCTGCAATGCAAGTAACATTTCAACAACGTGTTTAAGTTAAACTGACATATAGACTATGTATTGTCAGGGACATTACCATCAAGTGTTTTTTTTTTGTTTTTTACTTGGACTTTGGTGGGAACATATTACTTCATTTTTATTTTTTCTCCATTCTTTCTGGGAAATGAATACTAGTCATTAATTATCAAAAGCTAAACTTAACAAATGAAATATCTGAAAGATTTGCAAAGCGAAAAAAAAATTAATACTTGTATTTCCACTATGGGGCAGCACACAGAATACTTACGTAGTGACTTAAAGGTAAAACAAACTGCTTTATTTTGTTTGTTTGCTTTTGAATTTCGCGCAAAGTTACACGAGAGCTATCTGCGCTAGCCGTCCCTAATTTAGCAGTGAAAGAATAGAGGGAAGGCAGCTAGTCATTACTACCCACCACCAACTCTTGGGCTACTCTTTTACCAACAAATAGTAAGATTAACGGTCACATTATAACGCCCCCACGGCTGAAAGGGCGAATATGTATGATGTGACGGGGATTCGAACCCGCGACCCTCAGATTGCGAGTCAAGCGCCTTAACCCTGGCCATGCCGGGCTGCTTATGTTTGTCCTATAATCTGTGCGTTACTGAGACATAATGAATTACTAAACCATGATAAATAATTAGCTTTAATGATTAAATATATCTATATGTATAAATAGATTATATATATACTTTCAAAACACAGTTTACAGTGCTAAATATTTAATTTTTTTTCAAACCTGAAATAGAAACTGGTGAGAAGTTCTTTGCCCAAGCCACAACGAGGTGTTTCTTGAAGAAATATTTCGATCAACATCAGATATTACCCGTTTATAAATACGATTACAGTCTACAAATAAATCGACAGCATTGCCACTAACGGACAAGGCCACCTGGTGCCATTTGTCATCAGCTAAGCGGTAAGGAAATGTTTCTACATAAATCATATTATTGTTGGTATAATGCAGTCGTATTTCGTCTTTTCGTCCACTGCTCTGTATTTCCAGAAACCTAAAATAAAAAAATAAAAAACACAAAATTTGAAAAATATTGGTTTTCATCGTCTACCCATTTTGATAGGGTTGAAATTTTACTTAGTTTTCTGAATAATTAATTTGAAACTATAAACTGGTATCTATACAGTGAAAACGATGAAAGCTTAGACTAAATGATTAATTTAATAATATATATAACTTAAAAGAAAAGTATCATATTCTTAGATGAATTGTTCAGCTCATGGAAAGACATTGTTAAAACTTCAAATATAATTGATTCACAAGCTATCGCTTACAAGTTCAGCAATCATCTTAAGGTGTGTTTTTTCTTCAGCCTAACTGACAGCTAATCGATAGAACTGCATAGATATATGCATATATATATCACTCACTTTTATGAGTCTACATCAATATCTGAACTTAAAGAGCGTTACTAATACTGTGATGTACTACATATATTGAAAATTAACTGTATATCTACCCTGTTTTGGTTTTATTGGATCTTTTTGGGGATATATTTACATATATCCTTGTTGATGTTGCCTTACTTTCTTATTGTTGAAAAATATATAATTTTTGGAAAATATACTGAATTTTATTTTTAAGTATTTGATATAAATATTTCAGAAAACATTTTAAATTACGGTTAACTTGCATAAAGATAAAAAGCTCAGTTAAACAAGAAACACAACTTTCATCACACGAAAAACAATAACAAAATAACAAAATACTTCAAACAGAAATATGTAATATTTTGGACCAGCCTGCAAACCACCTGGAGGATCCTCGTGGATCACACTTTGAGAGCCACTGCTTTACTCCACAAAAAAAAAAGAAAAAACTCGTTTTTCTTGGCTTAACTATTTTCAATAGAAACGATATAAGGAAAATATTGTAAACTAGCAAAATCGTTCACAGAAAGTGAATCGTGAATCAATATCTCAAATCGACGGTAATACAGGGTGTACAAAAAAAAAGTCAGGATGTGGTAACTCCAATAGAGGGCATCTTCGAATTTAACGCTTAAGTGTATTTATCAAATGTATTTGATTTCAAATTAACGGTTTTAAGCTTACCTGTCGTTTCCATCCGAAAATCCAAACAATGTCCCCGTGTTTCTCCTCTCTTGCTTAAGTGTAACCATGAATGTGAACTCGTTACTTGTAGCAAGAAGTCCAGCTGCCTTGCTGAAAATTTCTTGTGGCAGGAGAAGTTGCCTAGAGACTCCTGGATCAATAACAACGAAATCAGTTATGCAGAGAGACTAGTACAACTTGGACAATTTAACCTGATGCCGGATAATACAAACCAGTAACTAATATTGGTAATTAAATAATAAAAGTTAGTTTTTAGATAAAAAAAATTAAGGGTTCCAATGACTGACAATTCAAAACTTATAAAATATATGAAAACTATATATTTAAATTAAGGTTTTGATGTTTTTAATAGCGTATTAATTGATTGAAATTAATATCAATTAATTTTACCATGTTGAGAAAATGAATTACAGTTACAGATTTATGCTCTAATGACGTGGTGCGCAAACATTGCCCTCCCCCCATAGTAACATATAAATAATAACTGAAATTACAAGTTTAAAAATAAAGAAGTTTTATAAACTATTGCACAAATGTTACTGCTGGTAAGTAATTTGGTAACAACAATTAACAAAGGGAAATGACATGTGCAGTATACACACATATAAGTTATATGGGGTACAGGAGAGTCAACAAAACGCATGTTTAGAAAGGAGAACACCAAATAAAAGTTTGCGCACCACTGCTCTAATGGGGTAGATCCTGATATGTATACAATAAACCCGAGATAGCATTCACACTGTCTTTTATGATATTTTTATTTATTGTGAATCTAATAGAAGTTGATTCTAATATCTCTGAGTACATTGGCCATATATTGGGAAAGAAATAAAAATAAGTAGCACATATATATATATAGGCTTTGGAAAGAGTATATTTGAGCTTTCTACGGACTGCATAGGGTGTAGAATTAGACATGTTTCGGTTTGTACTGCAAAGTGACCGAAACGTCATGTGTGCTTATTTTCTACACAGTCCATAAAAACACGGTATCAAGGCATGCAGATAGTTATTTTCATGCCGTTACTTTTCGAAAGTTAAATGAAGAAATTAAAGTTTTGATTTAATCACAAAATTTACTTGGAACATGCAGAGAACTAATTACCTGACTTAAAATTAAAGTTTGGATTTAATCACAAAATTTACTTGGAACATGCAGAGAACTAATTACCTGACTTAAAATTAAAGTTTTGATTTAACCACAAAATGTACTTGGAACATGCAGAGAACTAATTGCCTGACTTAAAATTAAAGTTTGGATTTAATCACAAAATTTACTTGGAACATGCAGAGAATTAATTACCTGTTAGCTTGACTGCTGGAGTTAACTTATGAAAACCTTCAACTACAGTTAGCCCTGTGTAAGTAGCGTTGAAAACTCGAAGTCCCTCAACGAGATCAACTTGGTACCTTTGTTCTATCTGTATACTTGCAGCTGTATAAAAGATAAACAAATGAAGTTCTTGAAAATCACTAAATCCACAATTGTTTCGGGCATAAAGGATTTTCGTGTTGTGTTTCTTTCTTGCTCTGAGGCAAACACGAAAGATCCGTGTATAGCATTGGCATCGGCCTTGCGGTATCACATGCTAACACTTATCACTGAAATGGTACTAGCTCAAAAACCAAGAATGCAAAAAGAATATTACTTAATTTTCCATAATATTTCTTCTACGATTGTAAGCTCATGTTTCTACCGTTGCTTCTAACAACTAAGATACTTTTTTATTTCATTTTTTAACGAAAAAGGAAACAAAATTGTATAAAAACAAAAACAAATTACGATAGAAATGTTTTGTACTTCCCGAAATCAACGGTATTATTTACTCGAACTGCCTGATAAGAATTATTGATACATTACAAGATTACAAAGTTCCTTCCGCGTTACAATATATGAGTCTCACTCATTTCTTGTGCAATAAACACGTTTAGTTGAAGCTATAGATATCGCTTTATATATGAACATTTTTGAGCGAAACTGGGATGAATGCGACAACTGTTTGAATACAACTTTAAAATCTTGCAATTCTAAGAGCACTGTTTCGTTGTATTTTGTATACATTCCAGAATTTCAGTAAAGAAACATTAATTTAAGATTAGTTTCTTCAACATTAGATAGAAAATACGTAATGGTAGATCATAAAGAAAAACATTACAACGATGTTTACATACTTTACAGAAAAAGGTCTATATATAAGAATTCGGTATAATTAAAATAACGTGTTTAAGAGCGTAGGAAGCTTTTTGAACTTCATTAACCTATACAAAACTGAAATAAGAGTAGGGAATTATGTATAACGTCATCATATGCGTAAAGGAAGTGCGGGTGTAGATAGTACTAGGCATTGCAAAGGGGGCCCGGCATGGCCAGGTGATTAGGGCTCTTGACTCGTAATCTGAGGGTCGCGGGTTCGAATCCCCGTCACACCAAACATGCTCGCCCTTTCAGCCGTGGGGGCGTTATAATGTGGCGGTCATTCCAACTATTCGTTGGTAAAAGAGTAGCCCAAGAGTTGGCGGTGGGTGGTGATAAGTAGCTGCCTTCCCTCTAGTCTTACACTGCTAAATTAGGGACGGCCAGTGCATATAGCCCTCGTGTAGCTTTGCGCGAAATTCAAAACAAACAAACAAATTGCAAAGAGCCAGTTCGATGACCTAAATCGCGATCCGGAGAAGAGAGAGCAGGGCATTTGGGGAATGGATTTGCCATCCCTCAGAGTCCCATCTCAGACAGTAGTGTTTATATGTTAAGGTTTTATGTGTGAATTTGTTTATAGACACTTAAAGTACTTGTACCGTCACCCTGTTGAGTTTTAATACTTGCCCCTGATACCCAGGTTTTGAAAGCGTCGCTAGATCTGGTGTCTCATTTTTGATTACACCATTCGGCTAAAAGTGTTTTTTGTACTAGAGATGTTTGTTGGGTAGCAGGTATTGTGGAATAGGTGTAACTTCGCAGTCATTAAGATTCGTTCAGAATTCTGCGTACCTTGCCTCATACGTGAATAGTCCAGGCAGGCCACTTTCCTGTAGGGCTGTAAAAGTGATTCTTATTGGTTTTACATTATATTTATAAAAACATTTCGTACGCGAAACGAGATTTTCCCCTAGTAAAGGATTATTAAGCCACTGATCAAAACACCGTACTGTGGCAGCTTATGAAACAGCTGCGGATTTCTTATCTTGAGTTATCACGTATCACAGTTAACAACAAAACAAATATTAGATCAAAACTGAGTGCATAACATCAATTACACAAGAAGCATACCCAAACACGGCTTTGTATTGGCAATATTTACTTTTATTTACAGAATAAAGAAGGTATAATAACAGTACGTAAGGAATACAGCTAGTTTCAAATTAATAAGGAATTAATTGGCAAGATTTATTGTCATTTACAGAATAAAGAAGGTATAATAACAGTGCGTAAGGAATACAGCTAGGTTCAAATTAATAAGGAATTAATAAGTTGACTCTATATTGGCAAGATTTACTTTTATTTACTGAATAAAGAAGACTTAATAACAGTACGTAAGGAATACAGTTAGTTTCAAACTAAGTAGGAATTAATAAGTCATGTTTAAAGTTACTCGTCAATCCTCGCTACCTTAATTATTTAAGGTTTCTTCTATTATCGTTAATGATGCTAACGAAAGTTCTGTATGCGTAGTATGCGCGTTTGTGTGTGTGTAGTAAGGTCTGTTCAGATAACATTTTTCTCACACCGAAAAGGAAAATAAAAAATATAATGATATACCAGTGCTCGTCTTATGAAGAAGATGTAGACATGTACAAATCTGTTTCGTAAAATCAACTTTTATTCCAAGTTTCATATTGAATCACATACGAAAAAAAACAAAAAAAAAACACAGCTTATACTGTATGCTTTCATTCGCTTACCTTTAAGAAATAGTGCTTATGTTAAATGTGATTTTAAACCAACCCAATTCCCCCAAACCTAACACGAATATAGGTTTATAAACTTTGTAAATGTAATAAAAATTGGACGTCTATGAAGATAATCAAATAGAGGTAAATTATTAAAGACTTTACCCCAAATACATGAGAAATAAAACACTTCGTTTCTATTATAAATCGAATAAGGCTTTAGAAAATACATTTCAAACTACTAGTGTTTTATAGTTATATGTGGGTATAAGTTGTTTCATATTTATTCATAGTATACAATTGGTTCGAAATACAGAAACAAAAATATGTATATTAAAAAATGTACCCTAGTTTCAGGAGTTTTCTACAGGTAAAGTTTCTCCTTTTATAGCGGTTAGCGTCAGGGACTGTGAATCCGAGGATTCGTGGTTCACGTCCTGTTGCGCTATAATATTTACGGTCAAACCTCACTACTCAGTTGTAGTAGCCCAAGAGTTGGCAGAGAGTGTTGTGAACAAGTTGCTTTCCCTTTAGTCCATCAGTTCAAACTTAGGGACAGCGAGCTTCTGTGTAGCTTTATGTGAATGTCCAAGACAACCAGTCAGTTTTTCATAGTACTTCATAATACAACATACGCGTCAACCGTAAGATTTAATTATACATCTACTTTTTTATTATTATTATGCTTTATATCTTATACAGTGTCTTATTCTACAGAAAAACAAACAAACTGTAAACAATCGAGTATTTGTGTGTTTTACTGTTAAAGTTAAAACTAAACCTAATCTAATTTACCAGGAAGAAAAGTTAATGTTAGATTGATTTGGCTAATGATACCCTTGTAGGCCGAAGTGTAAAACTCACTTTATGAGGGTGTACATACTTGTAAATAAGTAAAATATATGTATGTATACTCACATGTGATAGAAATCAATATCTGCAGTAGAAACCATTCAGTCAATGGTATCCTAACCATCCTGTTCAACGTGAACGAACTTCAAATAACCATTATCGAAATTTCTTCTTAACCGCTTATTAACAGTATCCAGTCACTGACGCATTAATCTGTATAGGACTCTTGCTGCAGATGTTTGTCTCCCACAAGACACTCACGTTTTTTTTCTTCTTGAACTTTAAGAGGCCAGAGTGTCGTCCTGAGTTATTACACTATTCATCAGAATGTCTAACTTATAACAGAGATTAATATCGAGCTATCTGTATAATGTCAGGATTATGAAAACTATCATGTTTTTGTAAATATAAATATTATTAGCACTATCTGTACGGCTGTTTAGCACTGCAACAGTGTTAATGAACGACGTGGCACTTGTTGAACAAATACGGTTTACATGGGAAGCGACAAATCATCCAGTTCAAATTTTAAACCATCCCAATCCATCTTTACCAAACTTGAGTAATTACGAAAAGAAACATCTTCAATGAGATCCACTCTTAGCGACCAGGTTTTAGCTGATTTTCAAAAACCTATAGAATGGGTGTCATCTTGGTGCGCAGCGTGAATACAGTACGCAACGGATCGTACACGTTTCGTGTATGTATCACTATAAATCGAGATCACAAATATCACGATATTGTTTTCCTACGATTTCAGACTTCTCTGCTTAGGATGGGAAGATCCAGATTGAAAGTGGCCCGAAATATCTTTTTCAGCTACCAGCCAGCACAACCTACCGTCGCTACGGCTGTCACGGATCTGAATGGCCTTAGCAGCGGATACTATAATATTGTGTCTATATACTTTTCAATAGTAGATCCGCCTTCATAACACAGGTGTGACAGTGGATATTTGAGTAATTCTGAAACACCTACCTATGCCTACGACCAGGCTACATTGTACTATTTTTTCCCTCTCCTGGTATTCACGTGACAGCTGGCCTCCAATGAGTTCACTCAATCGGGATGTTTGGGTGTCCAACTTCTGCGCGTGCGGCTACTCACCCGAAAACAAGAGAAATTTTGTTCTCCACATTCTCCTTCCCGCCGCTGACCATTTCACTGTAAAGCACAAATAACTACTGTGTGCCCTAAGCGTTTTCCCTGTGAGGTGGTTCTCACAACTGGATGGTCCACACGTGCTGTCTACTGACGTCTCTAGGACGCTGGCAAACTAATTGGTGAGCCGTTGCAAGTGAAAGGCTAGTGTAGCGAGTACCGTTTGGTCTTACCACCTGTGTTGGGCCGTAACGTCAGCTGCTTCCGCTAGGAGGCGACTGTATAAGCAGTAGCTACAGAGCATGACAAGGATTCTGGTTGAAGGGGGTCATTATTCTAATGTCGGATTATCAATGAATTCCGTACGAAAGGGGGTAAGAAAAAGTCTTAGTATTTGCAAGACTTCTTCATATTTTGAAAATCACAATGCGAACTTCTATCACTAGGAATCCAGGGAGATTTTAATAAATACAAGCTTCAAAATAATATAACCCGTCTTTATCTCTGAATAAAAGTAAATATTTTAGAGTTACGAGATATCTTTATCTCTAAAACACGAAAGCTTCAATATTTACACGGTTTCCTTATCTAGGC